GTACACCATTCCTTGGACACGTGCGCTCAGGTGTTACCAACGCTGGAGAAAAAGAGGTGAATGTACATGCCATGGTCATTTTATGTTCTGCATTTTAATGTACTCTCCTTATTTGTCTTCTCTGAGCTCTATGTGCACACAGCCTGAAGGTTTATAATGTCCCTGCAGGTCACAGCCGAGTCACTGAAAGGCTCCACAGGTCCACTGAGAACGTGGCTCCACCAAGCTTTGATTCATTTTGCTGAACTTCTACATGAGACATATAGAATAAATTGATTTTAATGAAATATAGCCATTTTAAGATGTTTTTCTGGGCTTTTGCCTTTATTTAGAGCAGGAGAGGGGGACAGGAAAGGGGGGAGAAGAATGGGGGAGAGACCTGCAGCAAAGGGTCATGAGCGGGATTCGAACTCACGACCGCTGCATCGGGGAACTACAGCCCCTGTTCATGGGCCGCCCGCTCTACCAGGTGAGCTATAGGGGGGCCCTTAAGATGTTTTTCTGATGAAATAACACATGATTAGTTCAAGTTTGGTTAAATTAAAAATCCTTTGGTTCTTTCTGTGTTTACGGTTTGTGGCTCTGAGGAATGGTGTCATTTTGAAGAATAACATGCCTTTCCAATCTGGATACGAAGGATGAATGTGTTTAGATACAGGGCCATTCAAGACATGGCGTGACCTCGAGGCAATAAACACCTTCCTCATAACCCCCAGCGCGTCCACTGGTGGTGCCCCGAATGATCAACAGCAACCGTACGCTGGAAGACTAAGCTCATGTCAATGCAATCTCTCACGTGGAATTTCTTTTGTTAGTCTTTAATAAATAATGTAAGACTTTCTGTGGATACCTTTCTACATTTATTACAGCATTAACTATAATAAATACGTTTTATTTTTGGTTAGACGATGATTACTTTGTTGGGACCGGTAATAAAAATGAAATCTCCACCTGCAGCAGCCGGGTCATCAGCCCAGTTCCTCAGTGCTGTTCCTCTCCTAACTGTGAATGAACGCATACGCCATCAGGTCTGTTAAGTTTGCTCGTGTTTTTGCTGCTTATCTGGAGTTTGTCTGGAGATTCGGCGTTGTTTTCATTCACTAAGATCAGATCAATCTTTATTATTCCCAAAGGCAGTTCTGGTGCCAGAAACAAAATGACACAATCTGAGACATGCAGTGCCTGCAAAGTGACTAGATAAATAAAAATAAGTGAGCTAAAATGAGGAGGAAACAGTGCAAAGTAATGCTG